TTATATATACTGTCTCTTTTACTGGAAATGACCTGCACCAAGGTGTACCTTGTTTTCCTCCGTGTCCTTACCGCAGCATAACGAGTTGCAAACAGTTAGCTGAGTAAGAAACACAGTAGGACAACGTGACAACGTTACTATCAGAGTTGTCAATGCTAAACACGCAAATCATAGCTGTGCGTGTTCTATAATCATCAAGATGGTTTTAAGCGATGTTCATCCATACTCAGTGCTTTGAAATTTAAGGGTTCTAAGTGATAACGACAAACATGTTTCCTGGTTTTAAACGGAGTTTGGAGCAGAAATTGTATTCTTATCGTTTTTGTTGAAATTATTACCGTTTTTACATGAAGACAGTATATGAAGGTTTCTCAGTGCCCAGCAAGACAAGGCGAGTTGTCGGTAAACCAGGTCCAAGCTGGGCATACAGATTATAAAACTCATAGCATGCCTTTCGTTATAAAACAGCATACACAGTCCAAATACGGTGTAAAACCAGGTCACTCCACATTATACATGTCGTACTGCAGAAGTGTAGACACGCGGGGCATTTCACACATTTTATTTGCATATTTGTATATGTTTGTTTGTTTCACATTTTCTCCAAATCGTGAATTCAGAAACTGGCAAGGAAAAGGCGATATGAAATGTATCAACATCAATACGACAGCTGAAACTGTCTGCAACACTAATAATTCGACTCACGTCCCCGCGACAAAAACAACCGTCCATAGATGCACGAACAAGGTTGCGTTTTCTATACGATCCAGGATACACCAAATTGTCATCACATCCCTATATGAACTATCATTCAATTTATGTTCAATTGTTTCTGAAGCGGCCCTTCCAACCGCCCGACACTCGATTAATTATATGCCAACGCTGTTGTATTGCCGAATGCGGAGTAAAGTACAAACACGAATAAGCCTATGTATGAACATTAAGCAAAATGTTGAATAAACCCGACGTCGGTCTCCGTGTGTTGTCGCGTGGGTTGGCTCCTGAGAGTTTCTAGGGCTTCGGTGCTTGCCCCAAACAACACATGTAACCGGCACCCTGTACCACCCAGCCCTACACATCTGACACAGGTACCACCAGCCGTATACAACCGGCACCCTGTACCACCCAGCCCTACACATCTGACACATGTACTATCAGCCGTATACAACCGGCACCCTGTACCAGCCAGCCCTACACATCTGACACATGTACCATCAGCCGTATACAATCGGCACCCTGTGACACCCAGCCCTACACATCTGATACATGTACCATCAGCCGTATACAACCGGCACCCTGTACCACCCAGCCGTACACATCTGACACATGTACCATCAGCCGTATACAACCGGCACCCTGTGACACCCAGCCCTACACATCTGACACATGTACCATCAGCCGTATACACCCGGCACCCTGTACCACCCAGCCCTACACATCTGACACATGTACTATCAGCCGTATACAACCGGCACCCTGTGACACCCAGCCCTACACATCAGACACATGTACCATCAGCCGTATACAACCGGCATCCTGTACCACCCAGCTCACACATCTGATACATGTACCATCAGCCATATACAACCGGCACCCTGTACCACCCAGCCCTACACATTTGACACATGTACCATCAGCCGTATACAATCGGCACCCTGTGACACCCAGCCCTAAACATCTGACACATGTACCATCAGCCGTATACAACCGGCACCCTGTGACACCCAGCCCTACACATCTGACACATGTACCATCAGCCGTATACACCCGGCACCCTGTGACACCCAGCCCTAAACATCTGACACATGTACTATCAGCCGTATACAACCGGCACCCTGTGACACCCAGCCCTACACATCTGACACATGTACCATCAGCCGTATACACCCGGCACCCTGTGACACCCAGCCCTACTCATCTGACACATGTACTATCAGCCGTATACAACCGGCACCCTGTGACACCCAGCCCTACACATCTGACACATGTACCATCAGCCGTATACAACCGGCACCCTGTGACGCCCAACCCTAGACATCTGACACATGTACTATCAGCCGTATACAACCGGCACCCTGTGACACCCAGCCCTACACATCTGACACATGTACCATCAGCCGTATACACCCGGCACCCTGTGACACCCAGCCCTACACATCTGACACATGTACCATCAGCCGTATACAATCGGCACCCTGTGACACCCAGCCCTACACATCTGATACATGTACCATCAGCCGTATACAACCGGCACCCTGTACCACCCAGCCCTACACATCTGACACATGTACCATCAGCCGTATACAACCGGCACCCTCTGACACCCAGCCCTACACATCTGACACATGTACCATCAGCCGTATACACCCGGCACCCTGTGACACCCAGCCCTACACATCTTACACATGTACCATCAGCCGTATACACCCGGCACCCTGTGACACCCAGCCCTACACATCTGACACATGTACTATCAGCCGTATACAACCGGCACCCTGTGACACCCAGCCCTACACATCTGGCACATGTACCATCAGCCGTATACAACCGGCATCCTGTACCACCCAGCTCACACATCTGACACATGTACCATCAGCCATATACAACCGGCACCCTGTACCACCCAGCCCTAAACATCTGACACATGTACCATCAGCCGTATACAACCGGCACCCTGTGACGCCCAACCCTACACATCTGACACATGTACTATCAGCCGTATACAACCGGCACCCTGTGACACCCAGCCCTACACATCTGACACATGTACCATCAGCCGTATACAACCGGCACCCTGTGACGCCCAACCCTACACATCTGACACATGTACTATCAGCCGTATACAACCGGCACCCTGTGACACCCAGCCCTACACATCTGACACATGTACCATCAGCCGTATACACCCGGCACCCTGTGACACCCAGCCCTACACATCTGACACATGTACTATCAGCCGTATACAACCGGCACCCTGTGACACCCAGCCCTACACATCTGGCACATGTACCATCAGCCGTATACACCCGGCACCCTGTGACACCCAGCCCTAAACATCTGACACATGTACCATCAGCCGTATACAACCGGCACCCTGTGACACCCAGCCCTACACATCTGACACATGTACCATCAGCCGTATACACCCGGCACCCTGTGACACCCAGCCCTAAACATCTGACACATGTACCATCAGCCGTATACAACCGGCACCCTGTGACACCCAGCCCTACACATCTGACACATGTACCATCAGCCGTATACACCCGGCACCCTGTGGCACCCAGCCCTAAACATCTGACACATGTACTATCAGCCGTATACAACCGGCACCCTGTGACACCCAGCCCTACACATCTGACACATGTACCATCAGCCGTATACACCCGGCACCCTGTGACACCCAGCCCTAAACATCTGACACATGTACCATCAGCCGTATACAACCGGCACCCTGTGACACCCAGCCCTACACATCTGACACATGTACCATCAGCCGTATACACCCGGCACCTTGTGACGCCCAGCCGTACACATCTGAAACATGTACCATCAGCCGTATACAACCGGCACCCTGTGACACCACGCCCTACACATCTGACACATGTACCATCAGCCGTATGCAACCGGCACCCTGTGACACCCAGCCCTACACATCTGACACATGTACCATCAGCCGTATACAACCGGCACCCTGTGACGCCCAACCCTACACATCTGACACATGTACCATCAGCCGTATACAACCGGCACACTGTGACACCCAGCCCTACACATCTGACACATGTACCATCAGCCGTATACAACCGGCACCCTGTGACACCCAGCCCTAAACATCTGACACATGTACCATCAGCCGTATACAACCGGCACCCTGTGACACCCAGCCCTACACATCTGACACATGTACCATCAGCCGTATACACCCGGCACCCTGTGACAGCCAGCCCTAAACATCTGACACATGTACCATCAGCCGTATACAACCGGCACCCTGTGACACCCAGCCCTACACATCTGCCACATGTACCATCAGCCGTATACAACCGGCACCCTGTGACGCCCAACCCTACACATCTGACACATGTACTATCAGCCGTATACAACCGGCACCCTGTGACACCCAGCCCTACACATCTGACACATGTACCATCAGCCGTATACACCCGGCATCTTCTGACGCCCAGCCCTACACATCTGACACATGTACCATCAGCCGTATACACCCGGCATCTTGTGACGCCTAGCCGTACACATCTGACACATGTACTATCAGCCGTATACACCCGGCATCTTCTGACGCCCAGCCCTACACATCTGACACATGTACCATCAGCCGTATACACCCGGCATCTTGTGACGCCCAGCCGTACACATCTGACACATGTACTATCAGCCATATACACCCGGCACCCTGTGACACCCAGCCCTACACATTTGACACATGTACCATCAGCCGTATACACCCGGCACCCTGTGACACCCAGCCCTAAACATCTGACACATGTACCATCAGCCGTATACAACCGGCACCCTGTGACACCCAGCCCTACACATCTGACACATGTACCATCAGCCGTATACACCCGGCACCCTGTGACACCCAGCCCTAAACATCTGACACATGTACCATCAGCCGTATACACCCGGCACCCTGTGACACCCAGCCCTAAACATCTGACACATGTACCATCAGCCGTATACAACCGGCACCCTGTGACACCCAGCCCTAAACATCTGACACATGTACCATCAACCGTATACAACCGGCACCCTGTGACGCCCAACCCTGCACATCTGACACATGTACTATCAGCCGTATACAACCGGCACCCTGTGACACCCAGCCCTACACATCTGACACATGTACCATCAGCCGTATACACCCGGCACCTTGTGACGCCCAGCCGTACACATCTGACACATGTACTATCAGCCGTATACAACCGGCACCCTGTGACACCCAGCCCTACACATCTGACACATGTACCATCAGCCGTATGCAACCGGCACCCTGTGACACCCAGCCCTACACATCTGACACATGTACCATCAGCCGTATACACCCGGCACCCTGTGACGCCCAACCCTACACATCTGACACATGTACCATCAGCCGTATACAACCGGCACACTGTGACACCCAGCCCTACACATCTGACACATGTACCATCAGCCGTATACACCCGGCATCTTGTGACGCCCAGCCCTACACATCTGACACATGTACCATCAGCCGTATACACCCGGCATCTTGTGACGCCCAGCCCTACACATCTGACACATGTACTATCAGCCGTATACAACCGGCACCCTGTGACACCCAGCCCTACACATCTGACACATGTACCATCAGCCGTATACAACCGGCACACTGTGACACCCAGCCCTACACATCTGACACATGTACCATCAGCCGTATACACCCGGCATCTTGTGACGCCCAGCCCTACACATCTGACACATGTACCATCAGCCGTATACACCCGGCATCTTGTGACGCCCAGCCCTACACATCTGACACATGTACTATCAGCCGTATACAACCGGCACCCTGTGACACCCAGCCCTACACATCTGACACATGTACCATCAGCCGTATACACCCGGCACCCTGTGACGCCCAACCCTACACATCTGACACATGTACCATCAGCCGTATACAACCGGCACACTGTGACACCCAGCCCTACACATCTGACACATGTACCATCAGCCGTATACACCCGGCATCTTGTGACGCCCAGCCCTACACATCTGACACATGTACCATCAGCCGTATACACCCGGCATCTTGTGACGCCCAGCCCTACACATCTGACACATGTACTATCAGCCGTATACACCCGGCACCCTGTGACACCCAGCCCTAAACATCTGACACATGTACCATCAGCCGTATACAACCGGCACCCTGTGACACCCAGCCCTACACATCTGACACATGTACCATCAGCCGTATACACCCGGCACCCTGTGACACCCAGCCCTAAACATCTGACACATGTACCATCAGCCGTATACAACCGGCACCCTGTGACACCCAGCCCTACACATCTGACACATGTACCATCAGCCGTATACAACCGGCATCCTGTGACGCCCAACCCTGCACATCTGACACATGTACTATCAGCCGTATACAACCGGCACCCTGTGACACCCAGCCCTACACATCTGACACATGTACCATCAGCCGTATACACCCGGCACCTTGTGACGCCCAGCCGTACACATCTGACACATGTACTATCAGCCGTATACAACCGGCACCCTGTGACACCACGCCCTACACATCTGACACATGTACCATCAGCCGTATACAACCGGCACCCTGTGACGCCCAGCCCTACACATCTGACACATGTACCATCAGCCGTATACACCCGGCACCCTGTGACACCCAGCCCTACACATCTGACACATGTACCATCAGCCGTATACAACCGGCACACTGTACCACCTTGCCCTACACATCTGACACATGTACCATCAGCCGTATACAACCGGCACCCTGTACCAGTCCTACACATCTGACATATGTACCATCAGCCGTATACAACCGGCACACTGTACCACCCAGCCCTACACATCTGACACATGTACCATCAGCCGTATACAACCGGCACACTGTACCACCCAGCCGTACACATCTGACACATGTACCATCAGCCATATACAACCGGCACCCTGGGACACTCAGCAGTACACATCTGACTTCCTGTTTCATCAGCCGTACACAACCCACACGCTGTACAGCACACAATCGACACCCTGTACTACCCAGCTGTACACAACCCACACCTTGTACCACCCAGCTGTACACAACCCACACCATGTACCACCCAGCTGTACACAACCCATAGCATGTACCACCCAGCCGTACACAACCCACACCCTGTACACTACACAACCGACACGCTTATCGAGCCAGCCGTGCACATCTGACACCTGTACCATCGGCCGTATACAACCGACACCATGTACCACCCAGCTGAACACAACCCACACCCTGTACAGAACACAACCGACACCCTGTTCCAGCCGGTCGTACACATCTGCCACCTGTACCATCAGCCGTAAATAACCGACACCCTGTACCACCCAGCCATACACAACCTACACCTTGTACCACCCAGCCATACACAACCTACACCTTGTACCACCTAGCCATACACAACCTACACCTTGTACCACCCAGCCGTAGACAACCCACACCTATACCATCCAGCCGTACATAACCTACATGTTGTACCACCGAGCCGTACACAACCTACACCTTGTACCACCCAGCTTTACACAACCTACACCTTGTACCACCCAGCCATACACAACCTACACCTTGTACCACCCAGCCGTAGACAACCCACACCTATACCATCCAGCCGTACATAACCTACATGTTGTACCACCGAGCCGTACACAACCTACAACTTGTACCACCGAGCCGTACACAACCTACACTTTATACCACCCAGCCGTACACAACCCACACCTTGTACCACCGAGACGTACACAACCTTAACCTTGTACCACCCAGCCGAACACAACCCACACCATGTACCGCACACAACCCACACCATGTACCGCACACAACCCAAACCATGTACCACCCAGCTGTACACAACCCACACCATGTACCACCCAGCTGTACACAACCCAAACCATGTACCACCCAGATGTACACAACCCATACCATGTACCACCCAGATGTACACAACCCATACCATGTACCACCCAGCTGTACACAACCTACACCTTGTACCACCCACCTGTACACAACCCATACCATGTACCACCCAGCCGTACACAACCTACACGTTGTACCACCCAGATGTACACAACCCATACCATGTACCACCCAGATGTACACAACCCATACCATGTACCACCCAGCTGTACACAACCTACACCTTGTACCACCCAACTGTACACAACCCATACCATGTACCACCCAGCCGTACACAACCCACACCTTGTACCACCCAGCCGTACACAACCTACACGTTGTACCACCCAGATGTACACAACCCATACCATGTACCACCCAGCTGTACACAACCTACACCTTGTACCACCCAACTGTACACAACCCACACCATGTACCACCCAGCTGTACACAACCCATACCATGTACCCACCAGCCATACACAACCTACACCTTGTACCACCCAACTGTACACAACCTACACCTTGTACCACACAGCCGTACACAACCTACACCTTGTACCACACAGCCGTACACAACCTACACCTTGTACCACACAGCCGTACACAACCTACACCTTGTACCATCCAGCCGTATACAACACATCTCATGTACCACCCAGCCGTACACAACCTTCACCTTGTACCACCCAGCCGTACAGAACTCACACCATGTACCAGCCAGCCGTAGACAACCCACACCTTGTACCATCCAGTCGTACACAACCCACACCATGTACCACCCAGCTATACACAACCTACACCTTGTACCACCCAGCCGTAGACAACCCACATCTTGTACCATCCAGCCGTACACAACCCACACCATGTACCACCCAGCTATACACAACCTACACCTTGTACCACCCAGATGTACACAACCCATACCATGTACCCACCAGCCATACACAACCTACACCTTGTACCACACAGCCGTACACAACCTACACCTTGTACCATCCAGCCGTACACAACCCACACCATGTACCACCGAGCCGCACACAACCTACACCTTGTACAACCCAGCCGTAGACAACCCACACCTTGTATCATCCAGCCGTACAGAACCCACACCATGTACCACCGAGCCGCACACAACCTACACCTTGTACAACCCAGCCGTAGACAACCTACACCATGTACCGACGAGCCGTACACAACCTACACCTTGTACCACCCAGCCGTACACAACCCACACCATGTACCGACGAGCCGTACACAACCTACACCTTGTACCACCCAGCCGTACACAACCTACACCTTGTACCACCCAGCCGTACACAACCCACACCATGTAAGGACGAGCCGTACACAACCTACACCTTGTACCACCCAGCCGTACACAACCCACACCTTGTGCCACCCAGCCGTACACAACCTACACCTTGTACCACCAAGCCGTACACAACCCACACCATGTACCGCACACAACCGACACCCTGTACCAGCCAGCCGTACACAACCCACACCATGTACCGCCCAGCCGTATACAACCCACAGCATGTACCACCCAGCCGTACACAACACACACCTTGTACCACCCAGCCGTACACAACACACACCCTGCACCACACACAACCGACACGCTGTTCCAGCCAGCCGTACAAAACTGACACCTGTACCATCGGCAGTATACAACCGACACCCTGTACCACCCAGCTGTACACAACCCACACCCTGTACACCACACAACCGACACGCTGTTCCAGCCAGCCGTGCACATCTGACACCTGTACCATCAGCCGTATACAACCGACACCCTGTACCACCCAGCTGTACACATCTGACACCCATACCATCAGCCGTATACAACCGACACCCTGTACTACCCAGCTGTACACAACCCACACCATGTACCGCACACAATCGACACCCTGTGCCACACACCTATACACAACCAACACCCTGTACAGCACACAACCGATACCCTGTTCCAGCCGGCCGTACACAACCCACACCCTGTATCACCTAGCCGCAAAAAAACCCAAAACACCAACAACCTGTACCGCACACAGGTTTGGATTTGTCTCATGATAAATATGTGAAGGTTTAACGGCGCTTTGAACAGTTTCCGCTTTATGTGTGAGTCTGTTAGTGGTGACTCAGGTCTTTGACTTCGGCAGCTTGATAACTGAGAGTTTCTTGGGCTTCGGTTCCCCGGCTACCCGATACATTTGGTTGTATACTTTCCAGATATTGTGAATTAGAAGCGAGTGATAATGTAGCTTTTACGAATTACATTTATCATTATTATAATTAACATTTACCAATTTGTGTGTGTTAACTGCTGTAATACAGCATATTGCGAATTTGTTCATCACTATACTCACTGACTTGTGACACTTATTACAAACACACTTGTGCCAACCTCAGTGGTACAAACACCTCATGTGCCATGTGACACAGGAGACAAACGTGATAGAGACAAGGAATGTTTTCGTCACCTCATCAGCAACATTTTCAATGTTTGACTGATGAGGAAGCGGTGTCCCCCACCCATTATGCACATCATCACGATGCTCAGCAATTGCTAACCCGCTTTGATGGCACATGTTTCTAATGAATACATCACGTGTCATCTAATATGATTCAACTGTACAATTTCGCTCTGTGGATTACCTACGGCCGGGGAAATTAAAGTGGAGGACATAGAAAACATATAATTCAAACATAATAGATAATGGCTCAGACAAAATAACAAGCAATTCAATAAATACATATGTTTATTATTTGAATTAATTAGATATCTTTGGGCACGAACGTATGGGTAATTATTTGAATATGAAAAACCCCATAATGAACCAGTTAAACATGATAAAACGAGTTTAAAGGACATCATGCGACAACAGTTCTGGTAAGTAATATGCTCAAAACAAGGCCATAAATGCATTTAACACACTTCGACAGTTCTCCATGAATAAATAATTAGAAAGTTTTTTCTTAATAACTCATAGCCAGTGATTCAGCATTAATATCATTTGTGAAATATTCATTAAATATTGTCATGGATAAATGTTATAAGCGACGCAATTATACCTATTACTATAATATTAAAACTAGACGTTTCATTTCACATATTAATTACAAATATCATCATCACAGAGCGCACTATTCATAATCAGTTTAGTGTTGAATCTGATCAAGAAGAAATACCTGCAGTTTTAAT